GAGAAACATTAGATTATAAATAATTGATAATATGTTTACTGAGCAACGGAACAGCGACTATAGATATAGAATTTTTGTGGAACTGCGACTTTTATAACGACCTGTGATTTTATAACAACTGTTATGTACGAACACGCTTTATAATAAAACACTGTTTATAACAAAATTTAAACATGACTGCGTCGTTCATTCCTAGCAGTCGCTGCTGCTCATCGTTAACCTAATAATTTTTTTTCTTATTCAGAGGCCTCTAATGCCTCCGCTACATCCACGATTTTTTTTTATTGCTCCTGTTTCTTTCAAAATGTGTAAAAAATAAAATTTACGATCACTAGTAACATGGCTTCAGTTTCTTTGATGCTACTTAAGCAAAGAACACCTATCTTCTTGCATCCATATTGATCTTTTAAAATCAAACAATTAGTACAAAAGCTGCATCTGCTCGAGTTCCTATGAGTATGTATGGTGTCTGTGCCCTTTATTTAAAATCGTTCGTTGGTACTAGTGGTTATGACGCCTATGTCATATATATAGGCCTGGCTCATTGTTTGGGAAAATAGGGAGCAGCTCTGTCAGATTGTCACAGATATTGTTTCCGTCAAAAACTTCCTTTGACAGTGCCGTTCCTTCAGGATACCTTCCCTGTGCTCTAAGATGCGAAAAACTCTTTAGTCTACAGACCGGCTAACTACCGGCTGTACGCGCTTTTCTTAGCTTTGCCGTGCCATCACAAGGATTAAATCCGCCACATTTCCCTTTGGGAATCAGCGATAGAACTGCATTTTTCTGTTAAAGACACAAAGTTCCAGTGCATAGATAATAAATAAAAAGTGCAGCCTAGAAAGAAGTCAGAACGAGGTGTAAAATGAGTGCTAATTGCGGATCCTGTCGGAGTTGTTTTATTGTTCTACAGGTTTTCTTAGTAGAATCTCTTCCATGGTGAGCTTTCACTTTAAGCGGTTGCACTCTTTCGAAAACTTTTGTCACAGACTGCAACAAACAATAGCACCATATGGCGTATCGTATCACCTGTCATGATCATATTAGGAAAATGTTTAGTCAAAGAACTAAAGCTGATTGTGTACGCAGTCGAGCCACAGTATTAATTATTTGTGCGGCTGCCACCCCGCCTTCGATATTAGCTGACTCCCCGACATCGTCAAATACATATATCTTTTTAACTGGCGTACTTTCTTCAGCAAAATTGTCTTAAACTCTGCAGCCAAAAAATACGTTGCGAGCATATCTTTAGTAACAGTCTGAAGGTTTATTCCGCTTTTTTGCGAGGCAATAGAGATTCATCGCAGCAGGGCCTGTGGTTCTTGGTAGGATGGATGACTGGTAAATTTGGATGAATTGTCGTGCATAGTCCTTCATCTTGAGTATATTGGCTACTGGGATGACTGCGTAAGCGTACTCCAGAAGATTCTTCACATTTGGGCGTTAGTGGTTGGTTTTTAGCAGTTCTGGAAGGTACCATTTTCACCATGAGAGCTGTGGCAATTGAGATATGTGTCAGCCTTTTTTCGTCGATTAATTTTTTCTAAGAAAACGAACTTTATTTTGAGCTACGTTGACCTCGAAACGTCAATAATCCCACTGAGCTTTCGGCATGTCCTTGGACTGGTACCGAACTCGAGTTAGTGATACAGAAACTGAAATCCGCATGAGCCTTTCGAAATGCGGACATACTGTGACAAACCTACCACCCAGTATTGCTAGACTGTGCTATCTAATAAATAATAGCACTTTCTGATACACTTTTGCATTGATTAGCTCTGGTCATTACAATGAGGTTAATGGTTGCTAATCTGAGATCTATACCTGCGATAGGATCTGTCTCATTGATATCAGATTGCTACATATGCCACGCTCATCTTTTTTGTCGTATTTTGCCACATAGTCGAAATAATCGGAATGTCGTTCTTATTCAACATACTTTTACATGTAAACAATAAGCGTTAATTTTCCTTTAGATTAAATTTATATCTATTTAGAACTATAGTTATCGGGTAGCCTCACGCACGCAATTCATATGTGAATTGCGTGCGGTATCTCTCTCTCGATATATATATATATATAATCTCGGTATATATATATATATATATATAATCTCGGTGGATATATGTATCTATCGAAATTCCGGTAACATGTTTTAATTAGTCTGTTAAATGTGCGATTTAAGTCGCGTCGGTTTAAACTACCGTTAGGACCACCAGCTGCGACTGGACAATGGGATCAATGTTGGGTGAAGGGCAGTATCTGCAGATTGTTAATATGCTTCTTTATCCATACGTATGTCATGGGAAAATAGCGGAAATAGGCACAATAATGTTATTTTCAGCTAAACAGGGAAAGGGCACATGCTTTATGATTATAACGCACGGACAGAACTCTAGTGGGATGCCCTGGATCACATCTGTTCCGAAGCGGGTAGTTCATAACGTGCAGATCGGAGAGATTGAGTGAGCTAGTCGCCCAGGTTTCTATTAGCACCAGGATCTCGACGCCTTTCTAAACTATCGGTCCGGAAAGTATTAGAGTTGATGTGCCCTCACAATTTCTTCGGGCCACTCCTCTGGTTTGGCGGCGTCGAGTACCCCGCGAACGACCTTGGATATGATTACAATGGCGTTCACGTTAGACCCTACGTCCTGTAGAAGTCATCTGCGCGAAGTGATGTATAATATATCTGCTCTTCTATGGGTAGCTTCGTTTACTGGGACGTTTGGTTAATATGCATTAAAGTTAAGGCGATGCATGTGTGTATATATGTGTATATGCAACGTTTAGAATACATCTATACATACAGAGCAGCGCGCCTGAACTGAGAATTTTTTATGCTCTATTAATAAAACTGTAGCTAAACAGAACTAGGCAGTTTAGATGTTCTGCGTGCGCGAAAAGTGCATTTCTGACGGTTATGATCACGATCGCAAATTCAATTCCAAACGAGACCCAAGCCTGTTATTTCCAAGATATTCGTTTATTAATGGGCAAATAATGCTTTAATAGTAACTTTGTGTCAAGTTATATTGATATGTGTAAACTCGTGTGCAGCGTAAATGCGTTACATAAACAAATTCCAATGAAATAAAATTTTGGGCTGATAGCAGAATATAAATCTCAAAAATGGAGCAGCTTAAAACGAAGGAAACGGCGAAAATTTCAGAAGGCGCAAACAAAATCTTACTAACCGTTAAAACTCGGACGATCCAAGTTTAGAACAGATATTCTCTCCGCTAAGACGGCCGTTAAAAAAATGCCTTTTAATGGATTCTTAAATCGTTTAAATCTGAATTCAATTGATGATCTTAGTTTGCCTTCTGGAATCTTTTTTTTTAGGTTCTCAGAAACTACATAAACGTTGGCAACAATATAGTCCGTTTATTTCAGACTAAGATCAACATTTTTAATTTTGGTGGCGATTGGTCCAATACGTAAAGCTTCAATATTAACTGATCTTCGCCCAAAAAAAAAGACGCACGAGCTTGTTATTTTGTTTTAAAAAAATGCTTTCTGTCTTGTACTAGGAGCAGTCGGTGAATGCACATTTGTTACTAGAAGGAGCCCGTCCAAGTTTTTTCCTATATGAAAGCATCATTTTGTCAAAGCTTTATCGTTGGGTGGCAAGAATGAACGCTTTAGAGCTATTCGCTTTGCGATTATATAGCCGTGGTCGTATATTTATACATATATTTAAACCACAATAATGTATTCATTACAACTCGCCCATGGTTACCGGAAGAATGTTCTCACCCCAGTCTTTTAGCGCCCAGTGGGTCCAACGTCATGCTGCATTATCCAAACCTTCTCGAAATATCCTTTTGCGCGTGTTGGACATAATTCCAGAGTTTTTACGACCGACTATCAGATGGCATAGCTTCCGGTTTTGGGCGCAATCGAGAATGTCTTGTACGTGCTTGCGACACCAGATTTACCCAAGGAGACTCTCATAATTTTAACACAGATCCTGTTTTCGCGATAGGAAACTCATTTCATATCAGTAATTTCGGCTATTCTCTTTGCAACATAAAGTTCATGCTTACCTATATCCAGAAATATCCGTTGATAGGCTAGAAAGGAACGTACTTCCAATCGCAAGCCGGCACGTGTCGCAGCTGGGTACGTACGCACGTAGCCTAGCCCAAATTCTTCAGTCCGAAAAATAGCATGCCACTAAGCCTCAAACAGTTTTCTATGCGTTTGGGTCGTACCTGACGACACTTGAAGCGACACTAGTTTTTTCAGAAGTACGTACTACATAATTTAAGTCAAAGCGATACGCAATGTTTTGCCTGATTAAAAAACGCTTTATTTTCCTACCTTCTCGTAATGCAACAGTCAGTGCTGCCCATTGATGGCTCGCTGGTTGCTGTGCCACGAGGTTGGCATCGTTGTAGAGGTTCGAGGTGATCGAACTGGTGGGTTGACCCGTGGTCCGAGCCGCACTCTCGTTAACGGAACAAATAGTGCTCATAAAACGCAGAATGAACACAGTTCGCTGCGGTCGATCCTATTACCAAATGCCAGATTCCTCTCACATACAGTCTTGCATGACCAGAACTAACATAGCATAAAACGCTACCTTAGCCGCAGTGAGAAAATCAATGAAAGACGCTCTATCGCCGTCCTTCAAATGCTACTCCAGAACATACTAAACTCGACTTTTACACCCAGTTTATCTTGCTGAATCCACTTGGCATTCGCGAATTCGCTGAACGTTTCGCTTGTTCCCTGCAACGACGAAGGAGCTCTTTCAGCGAACCGGCTTTCTTTGAGAGAAACCGCCCATCGAGCCTTTTTTAAAGATTTTCCATGCGCCTTTTGCACCAATCCTCAAATCGTGGATCTAAGCATGGACCATTCACCTTAGCCTGTATATAACGAATTTTTTCGCAAGGAACGATTCCCGGAGGAATAGTCCTGATTCTGAAACCGGAGGGAACAGGCACAATAATATACAGACCCACTGCCTCCTCAGTACGGTTTCCAGGATTATGGAGTTCATTATGATAGGTAGGTTTGAGCACGAAATAAAGGCTAAGCAAGTTTTGTTAGACTCACAATACGGTTTTGGTTGGATCAAGTCAACCTTCATTGCTATTTAGAAAATAGTAGACAGGGCGTATGAGTGAACTGGATAAAGAAGCAGTTCCTTCAAGTGGCGCCGGGGAAAAGCGATGTAATCTATTTGATGAAAGTAAAAGAATTGCATTTCGTTGGCTTTCAGAAACCAGCACCTCAAAGAGTGCTTATTCGATAAGTATTTGTATGTGCTTCTAGCAAATCAAATAATAGCTAAAAATCCTATATGGGCAAGTAGTTATATGAGAACCACCAACTCAAAAAAGCTTTACGAAATATGTATACATGCATGTTGA